CCCCCCCCCCCGCGCCCCCTTGGAATTGATTTTTCAATACAGGCCCCCCCTCTAAATTCAATTCTCTCCTGGAGAACGTCTTCGTGAGCCTCTCATGATTTCAGGATAGTTGAAACCCTCTTGAACATTTAGAAAGAGTGCATATGAAATTCTAATCACGAAAGGTGTTCCCCGAGGGGATACATACCTAGAGTTTGTTTTGTGAAGCACGTCAATTCTCTCCTGGGGAGCGTCTTCGTGAGCCTCTTATGGTTTCAGGATAGTTCAAATCCTATGATGCTCCGATTCAATGCTCACCGATGATCTGATCCATGGGGCAAGTGTGTTTTCCTAAGAATCTTTTTGAGCATTTCCAGAGCATATGTTTGATCAATTAGAGTGCATATGAACATATATTTACGATTTACGAAAGGTCGCCTCCGAGGGATAAATCACCATGTCGAACATTGCATTTTTGTTCCTGCTTCTCGCGTTCTCTTCTCTTCCCGCTGTCCTACCTTTCGTGTCTCCCTCCTCTCAAGTATAACTTTCTGAAGTGACCGGGGGTTCATCTTGATCCATGGGGTTCAGCGAACCTTTGATCGTCAGGTTTCAAGCTGTTTCAATGCCCAACAATACTCTTAGAATCCTCAGGCCGCGTGTGACCCATTGGTAACAAGGCCAGGTCTCCATTTGGCTTGCTCAAATCACAAAAGTTCTACAGAAGCAGTAGTTGGCATTCTAGGTCTTCGGTTTTTCATCACTATGAACACCAACGCTGCCCTCACCGTTGTGAGGTGCTCTTCAAACTTGTACGGCTCGGCCCGGGCGTTTCACCTGATCGGCTGCGAAGTGGAAAGCAGATGGACAGCGGTGATTTGTCCGCTGATGGACAGCGGAGGATATCGCTTGTGACGAGATGTGACGACTCCTTTTGACAGTGTGCTCCATTTCTAGCTATGTTAAGAGGGTGGGATGTTGAGTTAGGCTTATTCGGTATGAAACCACTGTCCTCTTTCATGCACACGAGTTGAAGGTACAGTGACCGGAACAGTAGGGCTCTTTTTCTGGCTACATGCCGAGAGTCTACGAAACCGAGGCCAGCAATCAAAACAGGCAACCCACCGCTTTCCAGTGGTAGTTGGAAAAGGCTTGGGAGGGCATCTACTTGACAATATGTATGTAGGTGTTACACGAATATTCAGTGTTTACCTGCTGTGGATAGCCCTGCACAGAGACATGTTGCTCCCACTTCAAGATCAGAAAAAATACTGCAAAGGTCCCTTGCTTCGGCTTCCCAGGTCACAGGTCTGAGAAGGGTCTCACTAGTCTTTTTATATCTTCTTCCAATTCGCAGCTGTCCGCACTGACCTCGGTCAAGAGCCTGTGGGCAATAAGAAGCCGTGCAAAAATGCTGCTTGTGCTGTGTTCACTTGCGATTGGTGAGCTTGAGGCTGAAGGGTACAGGACCGGTTCTCCGTCTATGGGGCCATCAGGGATACTAGCCCTGCAAACCACGAAAGTTTCTAAAGATTTATATATACACCGTTTTTTCTTGATCAAGACACGCGATGATTTGTCAAGTGATGAAAGGTCACACGATTATGCCTAATGTGGAGATTGGGATGTGGTGGAGTGTATTGTGGGTGTTTGCAAGGCGGGGAAGTGCAGAGCGGTGATTTGTGCTGTGAAACCTCTATTGACTTGCTGCTCTAGACTCTAGATATATACTCTTCTGTAGAAATCACAAGTTCTGGATGTTTTTCTCCAGATATCATTTGTATCTGGCTTTTGGAAGGTGTTTCTAGAAGTACGTTTTCGATACGTTTCCCTAGGAATCTCTACTTTTGAATATTTGATATTGCCTTAGAATTCCCTACAGTACTTTCCCTAAACAGGTCTGCCTATGAGGGGTTCTTGCTCCTTTGAAAGTGTGCTTTTGCTGGTTGTCGGATTTTCTCCATTTGTTTTTGGCTGTCTTTAGGTGTGCTGGATTGCGTGGGTCACCCCTTTTGCTTCTTCTTGATTTTCTGTTACTGTACATTCTTCTAGCAACCTTACTTGTGGAGACTGTTTCTTTTGGTAGAAATCGTCACTTTTGGATACAGTAGATTCTTTAGGCAACTCTACTTCTGGACACTTCTGTCTAGAAGTCTGCTCTGGAGATAGTTTTCTCAAGACATTTGATTTTTGGGTACTTCTATGTTTGGGAAATTGACTTTATTGAGTCCATCTCTCTCAAAATCTCAACTTCATCATACATTCCCAGGAATCTCTACTTTGTTACTTTTCTCAACATTTTTTTCTCTATGTACTGTAGAACCATCTGTTTTTAGGACACTGGATACTATCTCTACGTTTTTGGATACATGTCTGTAGAAATTTATTTGTTGGGACCTTTTGCTGTTTCTTTTCTTTAGTTTTGACACTCTTCTTTAGAGATCTGGATGTTGGACATTGGATGCTTGTCTCTGAAAAACTCTACTACCGCAGCCCCTGACACGGGTTCTGAATTCTCCGATTCCATTTCCAAATGTCAGCTGAACTCTGAACACAGTATATATGCAACGCGCACACAGAAAACATCCAAGAAGCTGTCGCTTTACAAGACTTTTATACTCATGATAGTTCTCTTGCATCACAGTCACAATCGCGCAGAAACTGACGGCATGTTTCCGCAATTGGAACTTTCTTTTCTCACCCGTCTACAGACGGGGAAACTGGCGAATCCTTGATGAAGAGCTTCCATAGGCTTAACTGATCTTAACTGCCCGAACACAGCTGTGCCCAAAAACACACGCGGTATGAACACTACTTTGACAATATCTCCTGAGCAGTTTCTTGATTTTGCAAATTTTGCAAATTTGGCTGAAGCCCACCAGAGGTTGCAGTAAATCTTGAAGTCCATTTCTTTCAGCATTGTAAAGCAGTGTGCCGTGGACTTCAGAGGCGATAATTCAAACGCCACAGCCGCCACAGCTTAAAACCGCAGCATGTTGAGGCACCACCACGGTTTGCAAGGTAGAAGTCAAGACAGAAAAGACCCAAGTGATGAAAGCCAAGCAAACGAAGTCCGCATGGTGCAAGTCCTTCCTAGGATGCTGACTTGAGGCTAGCGGCTAGAGGGTTAGGAGGCACTTCATGGCACATCATGCGTCATCCACTCATTGGTCTATTGTGCACGTGCGGCCATGGAAAAGACGGATGCCGATGTGTTCTTCAGGGACACTTTGCCTCGTGCGCGTTGCAAATGTAGGTCAAGTGTACCAGTCCGGTAGTACCTGTACCCTAGAGGATGAATTCGCAAACCCTTCAAGTTCAAGGTTTCAGACAAAGGACTATCAATTTGGCTGTCATGATGTTGTGGTCATGACGTGACTGGCTAACTGGCTCTTAGGAACATCAGCAACCTCCGCCCTCTTTGCATGACATGACATGGCAACATTGGATTCACATCCCGGGTCTTGTATTCCCGTGTGTTGCCGAAGGACACTGTAAAACTGAAGCCGCCTGATTTAGACGCGAGCGGTGCTCAGAAAGTGACGAGTTGGTAGTTCTAAAGAACGCCATTGTAAGTGTCGAATCCAATATAAGTTCTCCAGATGCTCCAGCAGCATCAATAATCAATAATCAAACCGAAAGGGAACCAAGTAACATTTGTCAACCAGACTGTCATTTACACATGGTGCAACTCAATCTGAGTGCTGCGGGCAACTGCCAAGCTACTTTATCCAGCCGTGCCTGCGAGGCAGCGGCAAGCAATTGCTGACTTCATAGTCAAGGTGCAACATTTTAGGTCTCCACTAGTTCCAGCACGTGCTGCTGCCGGTGTCTCTTGGACTACTTGCATGTTCAAGTCGCTGAGTGTGTTGAGTCATAAGCTGTCATTGGTTTGAAAGGAGATGCTTTGTGCATAGGTTGTCAGCTTGTTTTGTCGGCGAATTCTCACGCTTGCCGAAAACGGTCTGGGTTTTAATTCTGCCCTGCAGGGTTGTTTCTTCCGCCCCGGCCACAGCATGGTGGAACCCAACGGGGACGTTCTGGTTTCATTTCCACTTCCACTTGTTAGTTGTGCACCCCTTCTGCCCTGCAGGGTTTCTTTTCTGCCCTACACAGGCTCGCTCAAAGGACCTGCGCGTAGCGTTGATCACCTCTGGAGGCGCAGGGACTGAAAAGAAAAGCCTAGATTCTTGCTATTTATGTGGTATTGGAAGGGCAGATGTTTTTCTTGTATCTTGATCTTGATTCCGAATTCCCAATCAAATTTGTTGAACCTGGAGACCTGGAGAAACACAGATGAATCTGGTACAAACAGATGAATCTGGACAAGTGAACTGGACGTTGATACAGTTTGGCTTATCGGAACTTTTGGGGTTCCAGCAGCCAGGCACCACAGTGCCCCTGGAAGTGAATACAGTTCGTTTCATCGATAACTTCTCCACGGGTACCAGAGGAGCTCTCTGTACCCAGGACGAAATGCGTTTTGTTTGCTTCGTTCTCTTTAGGATTTCCCTTAGATTTGTGGCCGTAGGTAGGCTTGAGCATTAAGTTGAATAGTTCGAAAAGGTAAGCTCGGAAATGAATTAGATGTCCATCACTGGTGCTTGGCGTGCTCCCAAACTTCCTGAAAGGCGTACTCACAAAGCAGCTACCATGATTGAAATTGTGTTTCCGTTGTTGGCATCCACGCGAGAGAACGTTTTCATCAGGAGTTTCTTGAAGCTGGCTACGCAGTGATATTCCTACATCGTAAAGGCATGATGGAATGGCTGGTTTGGAACAAGAGCACCTTTTTGCTAGGTGTCACGGAAACCTCCTGAAGCCAAGGGAACAACGACCTACATAAGACATTTGGCATTGAACTGTCAGCGAAGATACACTCAAGGCCACTTGTTCGAGGCAGCAATATAGCACAACAGTTTTTTCTTATGAATCGTTTCGACGAGAGCCACAAGATTGTTTGCTAGAACCCAGAATCACATGAAACTATTGGTTTGTCGCTCGAAGAGTTATCCAAAGTCAGTGCTTCTTCTGTTTAGGTTTCGATGTCAAGCAATAAAATTGTTTCAAGTGCAGTGTTCGACATTCCCTTGTCATGTTGTGTCCATCCATTTCTCATCAAGTTGTCTCTGTTATCAAGCTGATGGCTACTGCAAAATCATGTATTGCACCAATCAAGCTAATGCAGCACATATGCACACAAGAGAAAAGTGACTGTTTGACTGTTTGACAATTCGAATTTGCAGACAAACAGACTCGGTATCTTTCAGGATGTGGTTTGGTCCATCATCAACTTCTTCTTGACCTGAATCCTTCCGATTAGTTGCAAAAAGGCTTAGCATTTTCTAAACCGCTTGGGCATCAAAAATCTATGAGTTAGGCAACAAGCCTTCGCCCATGGCAGCTGATCCGCCAGTTGAGCGCAGAGTAAACCCATACGACAAGCCGCTCGGTTTTTGATTCGGTACATCCGGTAGCAGTGTCCAGACTTTGTCAACATGCGCCCAAATGCAGACGCAGGTCCGAGGGCAGCCAATAGTTACTCAGCACGGACACTTTTTCACATTGCCTCGATCACAGCCTAACTCCAGTCACAGAATATCAAGAAAACTACTGGCAAGTCTTTGTTGGTTGCTTCAGGTGCGCGTACACATTCCAAGAACTGAAAGAGTTCTACAAGGCAAGGTGACTCGAGTGTTTGCTCGCAGTTGCATTCGTGTAGGACTCCGTAGGACTGACCGAATTGTCGAATCTCAGTTGTTCACCTTGTTTGCCATGCCCAGGCTGCCTAACCACCTGTCCTAGAGTCCAGATTTCAATAGATTTCAGACCCGCTAGGATGCTACTGACTAATGACTTGTAGGATCATGATGATGATGGTGATGGTGATGGTGATCGTGATGACAG